CTTGTCTATGGAAATGTGCTGACATATACCTGTACAATGTATCCTTCAAAACCTCAAATTAATCACAAGACAGAAGCTTCTAGATCAAACGATTACCTCGATTTGATTAACAGCACATCCATCAGATACAGTTCTACACTTTTTTTCCATTTTATATAGTAGCAGTCCTGCTTCTCACATCTACCAGTTAGGCTGATATCATATACAATACCTCTATGGAAAACCAAATTTAACTTAAAATGGCGTTTTAATTGTATATTGATATAATTTGCAGGAATCCTCTGCAAACGAGACATCTAATGTTTTCAATTGCTACTGTGGATACAGGCACTTAGCTTTCGCTCTCTGCACCCTTGGAACATGTCATGGCAAAATTGAAGGCACAAGCGAAGTAATTTGGTTGGCTGTAAGACATAAAATTGACCTCGAGATTCGTAGGCTGAAACAAGTCTATTCGTCTTGTCCAAATTGCATTGCGCTTGGAACCTTCAAATTTGCCATATCATGTTCCAGGAGTGCAGAGAACGAAAGTGATCGTTACCCCTGGTGTATTGAGGGCGCTGTAATTGTGATATTTTACAATACCCACTACGGATAATGGATTAAATGGACTTGAATTCAAACGTCTAGTATCCTTTGGGTCATACGTCGATTTCTCATTTCTCGATAAAATTTCCCAGCTCACTTCATCTCCAGTATTAACCTTTAGCAGTTAATTGACTTTCAGAGAATTTGGTGAAATTCTAAGATCTGAGAGATTACGAGTTAAAATAGAAATTCCAACATTACACATTTATATCAACGTAAAATATCTGGAGATGTAGCTTATATTCCTTATTGTTTTGTTATAATTGCCTGTGTTATTATAATTGTCGTATCCCATGTACCATTGTGTAAGTCCACAACCTCCATGGTGTTAATGATTAGCAGCGTTAGCAGCGTCATTTAACAGTCGCCTTGAACGAGGAGTTCGAGTTTCAACATATTATCATTTTTTGTGCAGGTACTAGCTGTGGGATGTGGACAATGTGCTGTGAACGAGACGTGTCTTTTGACAACTCAAACCTGTGTTGTTACAGGTAATGTATGAAATTCTAATATTAAACAACACCAAGGACATCAGGTTACGTATCAAGGTCATCAGATTAGTGATGTAGATCATGTATATACAACACTATGATAATCATCGTCTACAACATAGACAAATAGTTATTACGTTATGTTGAAACTTGTCTGAAGGGTTCTGACTTTCTAATTGTGATTTTAAGTTTTGTCTTTGTCGAGGGATTTTTGGGCTAGTGCGTTTTTCCAATGCCCCCTCCATCCCTCCACCCCCACCCCAACCCCGAACATCTACTTCAACCTAGACTTTCCTCAGTCGCCTCCTAGGTTTCAAAAATCTGTCCTGTAGCATCACGGACGAGTCCTAGAAGGACGAAACAGCTGTATGATGTAGCATCAATGACGAGTCCTAGAAGGACGAAGCAACTGTATGATGTAATACCACTGACGAGTCCTTGAAGGACGAAGCAGCTGTGTGATGTAATATCACTGACGAGTCCTAGAAGGACGAAACAGTTGTATGATGTAACATCATTGACGAGTCCTGAAAGGACGAGGCAGCTGTATGATGTAACATCAAGGACGAATCATGTAGGACGAAGCAGCTGTATGATGTAATACCATTGACGAGTCCTGAAAGGACTAAGAAGCTGCGTGAGGTAGTATCACTGACGAGTCCTTGAAGGACGAAGCAGCTGTGTGATGTAATACCATTGACGAGTCCTGAAAGGACTAAGAAGCTGCGTGAGGTAGTATCACTGACGAGTCCTTGAAGGACGAAGCAGCTGTGTGATGTAATACCATTGACGAGTCCTGAAAGGACTAAGAAGCTGCGTGAGGTAGTATCATTGACGAGTCCTAGAAGGACGAGACAGTTGTATGATGTAATATCATTGACGAGTCCTGAAAGGACGAAGCAGCTGTGTGATGTAACATCACTGACGAGTTCAAGAAGGACGAAACAACTGTGTGATGTAATATCACTGACGAGTCTTAAAAGAGCGAAACAGCTGTATGATGTAACATCACTGACGAGTTCTAGAAGGACGGAACAGTTGTATGATGTAGCATCACTGACGAGTTCTAGAAGGACGAAACAGCTGTATGATGTAACATCACTGACGAGTTCTAGAAGGACGAAACAGCTGTATGATGTAGCATCACTGACAAGTCCTAAAAGGACAAACAGCTGTATTGTGTAACATCACTGACGAGTTCTAGAAGGACGAAACAGCTGTATGATGTAGCATCACTGACAAGTCCTAAAAGGACAAACAGTTGTATGATGTAGCATCACTGACAAGTCCTAAAAGGACAAACAGCTGTATGATGTAGCATCACTGACGAGTCCTAGAAGGACGAAACAGCTGTATGATGTAGCATCACTGACGAGTCCTAGAAGGACGAAACAGCTGTATGATGTAACATCACTGACGAGTCCTAGAAGGACGAAACAGCTGTATGATGTAGCATCACTGACAAGTCCTAAAAGGACAAACAGCTGTATGATGTAGCATCACTGACAAGTCCTAAAAGGACAAACAGCTGTATGATGCAGTTTAATTAATTATTTGGCTGTTATATACTTGATTCAGGGTTTATGTACGGATACTCATCACACATTTTGTCTAGCATCTTAATTTGATTTTTGTTTCATCTAAATGCAAATTTATGATTCCAAAATCCAATACCCTCAGAAGAAAATCGGTTTGTATAGTTTTGTAAAGCCAAATGTATATTTTTGAACAGATTGTGCAGCTGCACCAAACATTCCACACGCTGACCTTTACCCCCTGGATTACGACAGTAAATACACCCCAGCTATCGCCAGGACCCATGATACTTCCATCTTGTATCGTTGTTACCCTGGTTTCACTCTCAGTGGAAAAGACGTAGTCAAATGTCATTTTGGCACATGGAGTCAAGCGCCATCTTGTAAGCTCATTTCAGTAACTTTAAAATCTAAATTGATACTGTGTATGAATAAACTGAAAGGGCGCGGTGCCTTGTGAAGTAAACCTATATGATTTCTTAATTTTGCTAATTATCATGATAAGTGAACGTGACTTTCTATTAAAGTAAAGTCCAGTCAAAATGGATTCTGCTTTATCTCTATGATAATTTTATAGAAGAGTAAATGCAAGACGTATCGCTAGATATAGAAATGTCATTTATAGATAAATGCATATGAGAATGATTGTATGTACGTTATTGATAAAGATGTTGTCGAACATCTGATTTCCTGTACATTATTGTTCATTAAATGCAGAACCAGTCAATTTAGGAAAGATACAACACAATTTCATTTTAAATTTGATGTTGGCAGCTTTTTGAAGGCTGAGAATATAAATATTAAATCAAACTATGCTGATACGGTTTCACTCCCTAGGTATCTGATTACCTACAGCCTTCACAGGAGTCCTAAGCGACGATGAAGATCGGGGTTCCCTATGTAATTATCAAGACAGAAATTATCCATACGAAATTGTGCTGAGATAAGACAAGACGAATCCATCTGCTACACTTTACAGCATGTAACTCTCACTGGCTATAGATACAAAACTGTACACAGGATATCTAAATTATATATCAATTAACCGTGTATCGTAGATTGTACATCGTAACTGATGCAATTCTGTAATACATTGTAACTGATATAATTCTGTAATACATTGTAACTGATGCAATTCTGTAATACATTGTAACTGATATAATTCTGTAATACATCGTAATAGGTATAATTCTGTAATACATTGTAACTGGTATAATTCTGTAATACATTGTAACTGATAAATCTGTAATACATTGTAACTGATATAATTCTGTAATACATTGTAACTGGTATAATTCTGTAATACATTGTAACTGGTATAATTCTGTAATACATTATAACTGATGTAATTCTGTAATACATTGTAACTGATATAATTCTGTAATACATTTTAACTGATATAATTCTGTAATACATTGTAACAGGCATCATTCTGTAATACATTGTAACAGGCATCATTCTTTAATACATTGTTACAGGTATGATTCTGTAATACATTGTAACTGATATAATTCTGTAATACATTGTAACTGGTATAATTCTGTAATACATTGTAACAGGTATAATTCTGTAATACATTGTAACTGATATAATTCTGTAATACATTGTAACAGGCATCATTCTGTAATACATTGTAATAGGCATCATTCTGTAATACATTGTAACAGGCATCATTCTGTAATACATTGTAATAGGCATCATTCTGTAATACATTGTAATAGGCATCATTCTGTAATACATTGTAACAGGCATCATTCTTTAATACATTGTTACAGGTATGATTCTGTTATACAGTGTAATTAGTATTTGGGTAGGTATTCACTGAAGTACTATTACATCGTTACTAGTTACATATTGTTGTTATATAAGAAACTGTGTTCACTTTATACCGTAGCTGATAAGTCTCTATACTATAGTGTATATATTGTTAAAAGCATATTTTGTCATTAAGAACAAAAATCTTTCAGTAACGTGATGTACTTTTTTAAATCTAATAAATACTGTTTGATTTTGTATAAACTTGTTACTAATTTGTCAAAACAAAATGAAAAGTATAGAAGAGCATATCAATTTATTTTTTTTCACACGATCAGTTTTAAAAACAATGCATGTAACGTGCATTCACGTGTATCATTCATATGGTGAGCATATTATCACTGCATTATTGCTACAATTCGGTTACTGCTACTTCTGTACGTGCGAAGCTGTAGGTGAAGAAACAGTAAAAGTTATCTCCGTTCACTCTCACTGTTAACACGTTGCATCGTGGTCAGGAGATAACGACTGGGTTCTTTTTCGGACGGGATCAGATTGCAACACGCAAGTCAGGCTGGTGCCTTTCATACATAAAAGGCGAAAGCATTCGAACAGAAGCGCCTGCAGAGTCCCTCTTGTCTGTCTGCGGTTTAAGTGTACGTACAATGTGGAGGAGGAAGTTTGTGGTTCTGTAATTACTATCTTAAAATTACATGGAATATCTCGAGAAAATTATGATATTTAAATGATGAAACCCTCGGAACAGTAGTTGATTGTTGAAGGTGAGTAATTTATTTTTAATTATTCAAATTTCATTATCAAATTAAACAAAGCTAGTTCTCCTTCTTAACCAATTACCTCTTGTACCCTTGTAATAAATGTCAATAATTTTAATTAGATTGGTTTTAATCTTATCGTCGCGTTTATAAAGATGTATCAAAATGGAAAAAAAATCTTCAACCCAAAACAGCATGACAACAGTGGAGTTGAAATGCAATTAAAATTTAAATTTAAAAGTCATATATTTATTAAAAATTGAAAAGTATACGTGTATAAACACTTTATAAACATACTTCATTCAGGACTCTATGTCATTTAAGAAACAGTTGTCTATTTTGAAAACTGGGGCTCTTCATTAGAAAACCCGATCTATTTTGTCGTTGATGTAACCGATCAAATTATGGGTTATAGGAGTGAAGGTCGTGACTGAAGAAGCAGTTAATTGCAAGCTCCTCCCAAACACAGATTTAGCTGGCTCGTTATCAATAACACCGTGCATCTCTTATAAACAACCATCGCCGGCCTGTAATAGCTTACATATGTCATTTATTGTCTTTTGAGTTACAGACAAATCACAGCCATTCTGTGTAGATCTTTGTATGAGGAAAGCTGTGAGCAATGCAACACAGAATAATTCGGTCGTATTAGATGTACATTATATATTTTTTGACAGACATTTGTCTGTAACATTGTAGTATATGTAAAAAAAAAAAAGAAAGAAAGAAAGAAAACCTGCTGGATTAAGCCTCATTTTTCAATTCTAAGCCCTCTCGCTTAAACATTGTGTGGCGTATTGAAAGGTAGGCTTCTAATCAACCCCGGACCAATTACATTCAGCCTTGGTCACACATGCGTTAATAACGTAGCTAAACATACTTACAAATAACTACGAAATTTGTGAGTTAAAGTAAGTTAGGGAGGGTTAAACAATGAAAAGAAATTAAAGTATTTATTTTTTGTTCAAGTCCGTTGAAGTACGTTAAAGTACACTAATGAAAGGTAAATTGCTTGCAAGTTCGGAAAATTGTGGATTTAATTGTAAAGTGAAACTCCGATAATAAACTTCATTAAAGGCTGTCAGGCAGAACGTTGAAATACACTGAAGTTAAACCACAGGACAGGAGAAGTATGCTTAAGTACACGAAAATACGTTACTGGACGTCGAAGTACATTCATTTATTTTCGTGCTTGCCGAAGTTGTCTTTTGAACATAAGATAAATCGTCACTCATAGCTTTCTCAAGGTTTTTGTAAATTATTCTGAAATAAAACTTCGCCAAGCTATGGTAGTATATAACTTAAAATAAGTTAAGTGACGTTACATTATGTTGAAATATGTCAGTTCTAAGTACGTTAAGCTACGTTATGTAACGTGACGAATAGTGATACTTCACATCCGTAAAACAGCAAACATTTGAAGTGACTCATTTTATACGTGTGAATAAAGGACTAAACTTTGAGAATTTCTTCAATGATATCTAGTAGGTGATTTCAAGGGTGGCGCAGTGGTAACGCTATCGCCTTTCACCTAGCCGACCGGGGTTTGATTCCCGGAACGGACGTGAAAAGGTAAGGGGTCACCTACCCGACCACGTGGGTTTTCCCCGGGTACTCTGGTTTCCTCCCACAATAAGACCCCTCGCGAGCTTAAATCCGGGCATACAAGAGTGATTAGTATAAGTTGACATAACTTGTTTCGCAATTGTTGTAAAATAAATAAAGTTTATATTTATAAATTGTGTGGCTTTACGTGAGAATAGGCAAAAGTCTCAAGAACAGTAGGGGTACCACACGCGAAAGTGACAATAGCTATTAGGTAAGTTATGGTTCTTAAATATAGATGATAAAAAAAATCTGGTAAAGGGACAGAAAACAGGAGCGAAGAGTACAAAACGATAAAATATGAATTCATGATCGGCAGGCTGTAGTGACAGTGTATTGTACAAAAATGGAGGTATATATTCATCGAGATACGGAAACGCACACGAAGATATTTATATAACATACGCCACGTGCATATGTTTGTAGTACATGTTTACATGATCCCCCCCCACCTCCACAACCAGCGGGATAAGTCTGGCTCGATCAACCTACAGCCTGACTGCTAATATGTCAGAACATTCTTATCCCTCCTACAAATGTGCACTATGTATACACGAACTATGCGTGTTGTCTCCCTTGCCTAAACTTAGTACGGCAGTTTAACTATTACTTAAATCATTTCTGTATAAGTCTATAACTGTCCTTAAATGGTTGTAGCAGTAACTACAATAAACAACAACAAAACATCAATATGTAAACACAATCAACCTCCACACTCAAATTCGATAAAACTAGGGCAAATTTTGAACAAAAGAAATATGTACAAGAAGACTCCTGAAAAAAGTTCAATGAGAACAAGACCAGGTGTTCCGGAAGAGATAACGTCTTCTGGTTCATCGACGACACCCGTCATGTAAACCCTGGTCAATCCAAATAAGTTATATCACGTTCTCAAACGAGATAAAGTAGGAAACAACAGAACCAACAGGAAAACTAAGGAACACCAAAAAATCCAACTTTATATATGTAAATGTAATATTTCTTAAATTGACTATCGTTAACTTTATCGTTTTCTATTATTTACTTGTCTTGCAAGGAAAACACTCAATAAATACACAAAAAGCTTGACCAGCTTCCTAATCCGTCACTTTTACGTCATTCCAATCAATGTTTTTGTGTAAAATGTTTCACAATTAAAACCATCTCGGTATATCAGGGTACGATGTATTCGTTGTAACTTTGGCTTTTCGTGATAAGGTATTTTTTCTCCAAATTTGTTATCTATTGTATGAAATTTGTTAAAGAACGCTATCTTTGTTTATTCTTCGCAAGAAGGTTAATGTTAGAGACCTTCTATTGCTGAAGTCAGTTTGGCTCTGTATCAGTCAGTGTTTCAATGTGACTTTTCATAATATGCAAGTCTATGCTGTCAGTTTATAAACTTGGGACGTCACATATGTATTACGTCCATACGCAAAATATGCCATGAGTTCACGTGTATTTTGTAAATAAGTGTTTAGTATACCAGGTTTCCTTACATACTTTTCTTATATTCTAAATCAAATATGCAAATGTCTGTATGATTATCGCGCAACAATCCGATTGTGATAATCTACATTTTACTGCGATACATCCGCTAAGAATCGAACCCTGGTACATCTGACTTCCTAGACTTATGCTTTTCGCGTTATGGAGCTAAATATGGAGTTTGCGGTTCGAATAAGATGGAATAGAAAACGGAACAGATGCAAATTGCTGCATACTATTATATAATAAAAATACCTCTTACTACATATTTGATTTAATGAGCTCCTGTGTCCATGATATGTCAGCACATTTCCTTTTCTTTTTTCCAGTAATCTCGACAATGCCTGGAAACGTTGTGCTGTGTGTGTGTGGAGGCGGAAGTGGTGCCCACGCTCTGGCCGGACTAGCTACACAGAAAGGGGTGGAAGTGCGCGTTTTGACATTATTCGAGGGCGAGGCAAAGAAATGGTCCCGCGCAGTCCAGAAGGAAGAGATGACAGTCGTTATAAACGAGAATAACCGTCCCCCGCGGGAGGTTATGTCGAAACCAAAAATGATCACGAAAGATCCGGAGGAAGCAATTCCGGATAGTGATGTTATCATATTTACTGTACCTGCGTCTGTACATGAAATGTACTTCAAAGCTATTGCCGAGCATATAGGTAAACGAGCTCTGATTGTAGGACTTCCGGGTCAGGCAGGGTTCGAATTCCAATGTCGTGATATCCTAGGCGAGAAAGCATCATTGATTTCTGTGATGTCTTTCGAATCCTTGCCTTGGGAATGTCGAGTAAGGGAGTTCGGAAAACGGGTTGAAATTCTTGGAACAAAAATATACTTGACCGGTTCATTAATACGCGGGAAATCCGTGACGAAACCACCACTGATGACGCTGCAAAAGTTTCTTGGTTCTCAACCAATCCTTAGGCAGTCAAAACATTTCCTCGAGACGATCATCATGAGCTACTCGTTCATTCACCCTGTTATCTTTTATGGAAAGTGGAAAGACTGGGACGGAAAGAAAGTAAATGAAGCGCCATTATTTTATCAAGGAATTGACGAACCCACTACTGAATTGTTACAGAAGTGCAGCGATGAATGCACGGCTGTAGCTGCTGCAATACTCGAGGCCGCACCAACCAAAGCGAACCTGAGTGACGTTAAGGATATCCACCACTGGTACATGGAAAACTACAAAAACGAGATAGCAGAAGCTAGTGATCTGTTCCATTCCATCACCACCAACAAGGCGTATGAAGGGTTAAAACACCCTATGGAGGAATCAGAGAGCGGAATGGTGCCTGATTTTAGTACACGGTATCTCACCGAAGACATTCCGATGGGGATGGTTGTGCTTCGCGGTCTGGCTGAAGTCATGGGGGTTTCCGTTCCGATTCATGACATGCTGATAGAGTGGGGCCAGGAAAAAATGGGAAAGGAGTATCTCGTTGATGGGAAACTTACTGGGAAAGACATTGAGTCCACCCGCTGTCCACAAAGATATGGTTTTTTATCACTCGACGCCATTCTGACTGGAGAAAAATCAAATTGAATTGGTTACTTTTTAAACTGGACAGTGTGCTCATTGGTGGGGAATTTACACCCTCTAGAACCACTTTCAAAGGCAAATATTTCCATGTATAGGAAATCTTGGAGTTTTACTGAACTGTGCTGGAAAGAACATCATATCGTTCAGCGTGTTGTGACGGCAGATATGTTGTATAGCATTTCTATGCTGCGAGTTATTTTTATAAAAGTTATCGAACAATGCGGAGGTATTTTACAGACCAAAAGGGCACGAAGTAGAAAACTACATATTAACAGGCCAGTGGCGTGATACACGAGGAGAAAAACGTGAGAACGATTGTTTGGAAGGTGTCACTAAAGAATCTAAGGAAAGAATATTTTTAACAAAATGTGTTTGACGAGATTTTTTTTCTTTTTCATTCTAGAAGTCACACTCGGCGCGCTTTTTGTCACTTGATGTCAGCTGTTGTAGATTTTACCGTCTAAAATTATGACCAAGTTTGTATTGTCATTTTTTACCCTGAAATGTAGTTTAAATTTACTGATAACATAAAATGCTTTTTGAGTGCGACCTCAGTATGTGACCAAGTTTTGTATTTCGAACCGACTTCACAGAAATCATTATCATCCTCCCTTCTCGATATCGACTCCCGTACACGTGCACTTCAGCATGAAATTTGCTCCTAAATATAACCTTTCTTTGTTTCAAAAGCCTCCACTGTAGCAAAATGGCAAAGAGGCGATATTTTTTTCTCGAACAATCGATCACAATGTGTCTGCATCTATCATCAAAGAATTTTTTAATTTCTTATTTTGTTTTAAGAACTTCTATTCTAGTGTTCCATCACAAGCTAAAAATGGCGACTTAATGCTTTTTTTCTAAACATGTTATATCTTACTTTTCACTTCAGCGTTTTACCAAGGAAGACCTAACATAAGAGACTCCATTTGTCTACAATATTTTTTGTTTGGGGATAACGACTGCCTAGGGAATGAGACTTCAAACAATACTTTAACGCCAAGATATTTAATCATCCTGTGATCATAGTGTGTAAACAAATAGTGACTAAATCTAACAGAATTTGAAATTTCCCTTAAAACAAAATTGATTATTGATTTTATTGATATCGACATCACATTGATATCAGAATCGCAATATCGGGTAGATTTTTAGATCAATAAAAACGGATACCTATCATTATGGTTGGCTATCGCTGTAGTTATGACGGACACTTGACATAAACATTACAACAGATGTCATTATTATTTTACATAGTATCAAACGGTCGATATTATTTACAATGTGGTGTTAGACTTCAGCATTCCCTAACGCTTTATTGTGACATGTATACGTGTATTTTGGAAACAATTTTAAATGTTTTATTAAAGAAAACAGAGTGATATTGAAATATGTGTATGTGTTATGTGTTTGAAATATTTCCAGTTGACATTGAGTAAGCGAATCTACAGAACTACGTTGTAAGTTTGGTGTGATCATTACCAGGAGGTTGTAACTATCGTCGTACATTAATGGTAGCTTAATAGATTTACATGAATCAAAATATGTTACGCGTTTGACCGGCAGTTGATGATAACGAGAGCAGGCTCTTGAATATCGAATCGACTGCTACATAAAACACCACATGTAAGGGATGCAGGGATCTCCTACCAAGTAATGGAAAATTCACAATAGAGAAATTGAAATCATCACGCTTAGCATACACCATGGTAGTAAGCTGTCAATGTTGGTTCCGTTGTAGGAAAAGATTAAGCGACGGATGATGTAGAATAGTCTGTCGTGTTCCAACTTTGGTAGGTATATACGATAGACAAGGTCAATAAATATCATGTTACTTAAAGACAAGACGTCATCAATATATCTGAAGGTGAAATTAAACGACTTTGCAAGGTCTTTATGACCAATTCTGATAAGCTCTTTGATAAATTCAACTTCGTGTGAAAACAAAAACAAGTCGGCAAACAGAGAGGCACAGTTAGTTTAGCTCCCATAGGTATAAGTAAATTGTCTACGATGACAATTCCAATGTTCACTCGCAAAAATATAAAACACAAGCGATGTATAATAACCATTTTATTAAAACCGTTATTCTAGTATTCCACATACTAGACTACCTGTAAGATACTTTTAGTATCTATTATACTTAACGTACCGTGTTTTAAATAGCTTGAAATTTACTGAGGAAACAAATATGAATTGTTAATATATACGCTGTTTTTTATCCTTAAAAATGATCAAAAGTCCTATAGGTAAGAATTTAGAATAAGTGCACAGGTACATACACTTAGCCAACAAACTAAAACTCACTGGAAATAGAATTCACATATCAATATATAAATTGCATTGGAAAGAAAATAGCAATATTTTATACAACACAGAGAAATTATACAACAAAGAATTAAAATATCAGAGGGAACACATCAGTTTACATACTCTAATACATCTAACATCAGAAATTAATTTTCAACAAAGTAGAATTTTATACATTTCCACTAATATATTCTCTGTTAAAGGTGTGTTGACTTAAGTTTGGTTATCAAAAATGGGAGAAAATGCTAATTAAATTTTTTTTTCGAATATGTTTTAAAAATGTGATGGATAACACAGTCAAAAAACACATAATAAATGCAGGCTGTAAGAATATGCCAATAATAAATTCTAACAATGCTGTATCTTTATTTAAGACAACCTATCACACTCATTGCTATGCCTTCATCACAGTTGTAGCCTTTCTACATAACTGGATAACACTTAAAACTGACCTGTGGATTTTCTATAGAACATACAAACGTTTCACATAAAATGATAGAACCACTTATCTGACACACCTCTACTGTACAATTCTAAAACATATTTTACTGAACCAGTTGAAGCGGTAAATACCACAGAACTGTTGGTCACATAAAAAATAATTATCTAGTGAAGAAAATAAAATTATAATATCACTTAACAAGTGAGACATATAGGAGAATGAAATGTATCAAATGATATATAACAGTAAATAGTGATTTATCTGTGAAATCATAAATTTATCTCTCATTTGTACAGAACATTTACACCACACGAAGATTGGAAAAGATATCATTTGTTCTTTAAATACACTTTTACGTTTGTTATAGAATATTTCAGAAAAGATTTGGCAACTTTTGCTTGAGGAATGCCATACCAGTGACAAATCAGACATTAGTATTATACTTGTCTACAACCCTGAGTACATATCATTACTGGTATGTTTCTATCTACATTAATTCAGTGACACGTACTAATATATAATAATATACATATATGATACAAATTTTTGACATACATGGATATGAAACATAGAGATGTTCCAATAGTTGGGCTGCAAGCTGTATTAAGACTTGAGGCTCTACCAAAGAGTCATGAAATATGACATGCCAAAATGTTCTATCAAAGGGCTAGATAATATGTTGAATCCTGAGACTTTACTGAATTGTCACAAAATGTGATAAGCTCTGATGCTCTAACAATAGCCAGTTATAAGAAACTACTAAAGGGCCACTGATATGGAATATTTTGAGAGTCTACAAAAGGACTAGAGATTTTGGTGAATTTTAAGGTTGTCACAGAGTTGTGAACATTTGGCATGTTCCCACAATTGGAATATCTGAATCATATATATCCATACATGACAGAAATTCTAAAGTAAAAAATCTGACTACATCTGACTAGTTGTTATAGAAGTTTAATCATTACTCAGCTCAGACCAACACAAGGTTGCCCTGTTGTATCGTCTCAAACTACTGCTACACTATGAAAACATGTATATGTATTCTGTATTTGAAGAGCACCAATACATGTCCAGTAACAGAAATCCTACTGTAGTAGAGATACAGTTAGATAAACCATAATTACGACATCGCCTTATGAAGAATCAAGAAAGTATACCAAGATACATCAATATTTAGTATAAATCATAATTATTGCACCAAAAATAAATCTACGCATCCCATTAGAAAGTTGACATCATGTGATGACCCCCTGTATTTGATAAATGTAAAGTTTAGACAATAAAGAACAATATTCAATAGAATTTAAATCATTTTCATTCAATATACAGTAAATGAAGCTAAATCTCCACCAGGTTAATTTGCTGACACCATATATCTCAATGGGTAAATTTTAACGTTCAACTATGTTCAAATCATAATCTAGTCCCGTATATTTTTCATGACATCCTATAAGTACAATTCAAACAAGAAAATAGTGCTATACAAACAAGAATACTGTCAGTTATTAGTTCTTTGTATAAACATGAAGTATTTTTGGCAATAAAGATGCTTGACATTGAGAGTATTGATATAAGTGTGTGGAGGACAAGGGTCATCTGTGTCTGCGTTTGTGAGGTATCATACGGTCTAATAATGCCATGAAGATATTACCAGGCAGTCTCTGGTTCTGACGTATCATCACAGATAATGCATTCTCCACCTGAAGTAACAATCAAATGTGACAAAAATCTTCAGACATGTATCATTCCTCAACTCTAATGCCTCAATAAAACAAAGGAATATCACGATCAATAGTACCGTAATAGGATCACCGTGACCTAATTACGATGTGAGGAGTATAACACTAAAGAGATATGACCTATAAAGCTGTTTAATGAACACATATCTAGAACATCTTTGGAATATATCATTTAAGGCTGATTAAAACAATAATTGTCTGGAATCCTTATTATCTCCCTTTAGACTAAAAATTTGCATTGACTTGTATATCAACTCTTCAAAGTCTGATGATGTAGGAAGTCATATACCTTATCTGTATCAGAATGAACCACCCACATAGTCTGTTTATCATGGTGGGCACCTAATCATTTACTCCAACTCAATGCCCACAGTTCATAGGAATGCTTTTTATCTTTTTTTTTAGATAAAAAATCTATAATTTAAGAAGGATTAAATTTCTGAAACTGTCCATATGACAGCTCCTGTAATAGCTTTTTATTGGTTTCCATAGAAAATGCATTATGGTGGCTAACAAGCTGCATATTAGAGAGAGATCTGTCCTCCATTTAACTTACCCTGCGTTTGAACTGGTCCACAGTTTGTGATTGGTCTGGGTATATAGGATTTCCAACAAAGGTTCTGTAGAGGAGAAGATAAAGCGTAATAAAATGGATTCCTTTTATGACAAGGTTATCATATTTATATACTGTAAAACAATAAATGTTTGTCCTGTAGAAACTTTTGTTGTGTTTAGTGGCTATGGACAAACCATGAAAATAAAATGAAACAAATAAGACTCCAGATGACAGTATTACACATATAATAATGTGATATCTTGAAAATGTTTTACTCTTAAAAAGATCTATTAAACGTAAACCACGAAAGAAAGTAGCAAAGAACATGTCATGTTATACAGTGTGTTTAGAGAGAAAACGGAATCATACTGTAGTCTTAACTCATTAAAATGTGATCATCACAGCTTCAATGAACGCCATGTTAAAAAAGACGATAAAGAAGTCCTTTTATCATTATTTACCTTTTCAAAAAATAGCAGGAAAGAATTTGAAGAATTAATGTGTTGTTGAGTAGAATGATCAAGGAAACTTAAATTTAACTACATAATAGTTCTTATTTTTCAATCATTATATTTTTAAAATTATCTATTATTTAAATCGTCAAGCAACAAAATCAACACAAGTTCACTTGTTGGATCCCTACCTCATTTTTACAGGGAAAAACCCATAAATAAGTGAAATAGGAAGTCTAGTTCTCTCATACAGCTTCAACAACAAATCTAGAACAAACAAAACAGAGTATGAAAACAAACAAAAATTGTTTACAGAAAGGTCAAAGTATTTTAATAATGAAAAAATTGAATATCTGAAACATTCAAAAGAATATCTACAACTATTTTAATCAATAAAGGAACATTGGGTATTTTCTCACTTATGGAAAGTTATGATGGTTTCTGATTGTTTGAATACAGGTATATAAAAATGATCACATTTATCTAAAGGGAGATCATTCTAAAACTTAGCCAAAGTTGAAATACACATATTTTGCATTATTCAGATGGAAATCAAATCTGAATGGTGTTTTATAACAATAAAAAATAAGAAAAAGCATTGTGTACTGCAAATATATATAAAAAATATCTGAAAAAAAATTACAAACTCACTTTTTCCAAACATTGGTGTCCTAAATGCTTCCCTCACATTCTGTGTAAATAATGGAATGACAGGCTGGAAGGGAAACAATCATGATTTACACACATGTAAGTGTTTTATATTAACCTTTTTTATTTCATAGTAACAACATTTTTGTATCTTGTTTAGGAATTAGACCACAGTATACCACTTTACCCTGATAATTTCACAATTTAATATTTAAACTTTCTTTAATAAAAAAAATATTTCTGAACTTAAAACACACCAATACTTTTACTTTTCTAATCAGTCTTACAATGAAATTAACCTCCTGCAAGAGGATATTGCAAAAATTGAAAGACTATGACGTTCACAATTTTCCTTGAATATTTTAAACAGACCATTAACTAGAGATAAAGAGAAGGCATGTCACAGTGAGCAGTGATCTTTGTACATACAAAATTGTGAAACATGAATCAGCAACATGAATCAGTCCCTCCCTTGGTAAAGTATAATATATTTACCTGGAGATATACCCAATAACTATAATTGTTAATCAAACATTTATATTTATCAACAAAAACATTTTACCACATTTGCCTGAAGAGCTACTTTAGCAAATCCATCACGTCTTCCCCACATCAGCTGGTAATGTTCATCTCCAAACAGTGCTTCACGTACACCACCTTAAAAGAACATTCAAGTTTATGATCTTCAGATATCATGTTCACTGACAAAATTTTCAAGAATTAGTTCATTTGATCTTCAACAAGTACAACAATCTAGAACACATCAGTTATTTATTAATAAACAATTATCAAACACATACAATGTAATAGAATTCAAGCATACACAGATTTGGATATAAACTCAATATCATGGTATTATACCTGGTATCTACCTGGAGTTATACCATACAGGTGTCCCTCCCTTGGTAACACCCCTCTGTATATCATATTTACCTGGAGATATACCTAACAGGTGTCCCTCCCTTGGTAACACCCCTCTGTATATCATATTTACCTGGAGATATACCAACAGGTGTCCCTCCCTTGGTAACACCCCTCTGTATATCATATTTACCTGGAGATATACCATACAGGTGTCCCTCCCTTGGTAACACCCCTCTGTATATCATATTTACCTGGAGATATACCTAACAGAGGTCCCTCCCTTGGTAACACCCCTTTGTATATTATATTTACCTGGAGATATACCTAACAGAGGTACCTCCCTTGGTAACACCCCTCTGTATATTTTATTTACCTGGAGACATATCTAACAGAGGTCTCTCCCCTGGTAACACCCCTCTGTATATCATATTTACCTGGAGATATATCTAACAGAGGTCCCTCCCTTGGTAACACCCCTCTGTATATTGTATTTACCTGGTGATATACCTAACAGAGGTCCCTCCCTTGGTAACACCCCTCTGTATATCATATTTACCTGGAGATATACCTAACAGGTGTCCCTCCCTTGGTAACACCCCTCTGTATATTATATTTACCTGGAGATATACCTAACAGGTGTCCCTCATTTGGTAATACCCCTCTGTATATTGTATTTACCTGGAGCTATACCCAATAGGTGTCCCTCCCTCAGTACATTCACACAGCTCTGTACAGTGCCTGGTGTAACCCTCATCACCTCCATCATGAGACGCCAGCCTGTCATGAATAGTAATTTACTAATTAAAGACAGGAAGAAAAATGTCTTAGGTTGATATTCACACTTTGATTTTTTTTTAAAACAATATTGTAAAAAAATGATAAATTCTAGTAGTCATAGCATTAAGTCTCTACAGTAACATGTCAATGTTTTCTTGGTAAAAAATTTATTAGAAATCTTGTTTATGTGAATTGTTGTGCATTAGGAGCTACATTTAATATCATGTGATAAAAACATATTGTTTTCTTTCACAGAGAAATTGTTACTTACCAGGAATGTGAAATAAGAAGCGGTCTCCCACGGCCCGAATGTGTCTATTTTTATCAAGCAAAGTTTTGGCGATGACATAATAGAAATCTATAGGAATGGTTCCATGATAGTAGATAAGTAATGCTGGTCCCTCACGTGGAATGTTGTCAAATCCAACGATCTCATACCCTGTACACGACAGATACAGTATACAAAGGAAAATAAAATTTGTCAGTAAATCTGGTTGAGAACACATAATACCTTTGAAAATATCTGCGTAATGTTTTAGTTGCGAACATTTACATGTCTATCAATACGCATAATCAATAATTCTATTAGTTAAAATTACTTCAAAGTGTTTAGAATTTACTTTTGCAAAAGATCATGGCGTTTTGACTCTAAGAGGGAAAAAAACTTTTTGTTTTTTATTTTAATTTTCATGTTTATAAAATTGGTTAATCCTACTTTTTGATACATTTTTGAAACTTTTAAGCATACAAAGCTTACCATGCCACAATCTAGCTTGTCCATCCCATAAAGCTGCCAATGTTTTTCTAGCTCCATCCCAGAAGTCTCTGCCATAGGCCTCACGAAGACGATGTCGATAGTTGTAGACATTGAGAAATAGTGCCGACCCATACAGAAACAGGAGTATAACCAGGGGAAGCAGGAATGATATGATGATGGGGTAAACAACCCACAGCACCCATTTCCAATAATTTATGTCCAGGGTGTCAATGACTTCCCAGGCATATTGTAAATGATCACTGATCTGGTAAGAAATGTTGTGGAATAACATCCCCAACCTGTGCAGGATTCACGTCTCAAAAGCTTGTTCAATTGCTGCTGGCTAGTGATTACCATCATGGGCAAAGACAGGGTTTCATAGTGGTGTCTGTTACTTGATTCATTTTAAATTTGTTTACCATCAATCTTCACTTTGGTACACACAAAACAGCTCAACCTAGATAAAAATGATAAGTGTAAATAATGAATTACCCGTTGTTTGCAGATCATAGTGACCAACAAAATTACACAACTTCATACTTTTGTTTATATGCAGTTGCTTAATGGGGTACCAGACCAGTTTAATAGGGGGCAATGAAATGTTATCCGCTTGTGAATGTCAGAGATGTGTGGTACAATCACTAGTCTAAGCAGGTTTGAGTTTCTCATGCACTGGCTTACTATTCTCATGCTCAACCAATCAAGCTGAAGAGAAGTTCTCTCTAACTGAGCTATATATTGAAGCTAGTATTTACCAGGGTTATACTCAAGAAACAAAGATCCTGGAATCACAACTGGTTTAAGGAGAATAATAGGAATTGATATTTTCAAGTGCCACCCTTTTATTAGTTTTGTGTGTGTTTTAAATAGGATAACATGTTTTGGGCTTTCTGAATTTGCTAATTGTTGCCGCCATCTACTATAAAAAATCCGGCCTCAAAATTTCAATGGATTTGCGATAAACAAAACAAACACTGAATATCGTAATATTCTCATAGAAAAATCTCAACAAACCAAAATATTATTTGCATAATTCTAAGAACATGTCATGCAGACTTAAAGGTAGTTTAGCCAAATTTAAAAGGAGTGCGTCATTGTGTCTTGTACAAAGTGTTAAATATGATATATGCTACTCTGTTGGCGGACTTGGTATAACCACATGCACTTAGCTCGCTGATAAAAAAAACAAGTATGATATCAGAGATAACATTACGCACAGTGATAAAACGTCGGGTTCCTAAGGTAAACCGAGCTTTTTTTAATGCATTCGGGAATGCAGACACTGCATCGATTACCTTTTCTACATACTTAATACGTATCATTACTAGCAGTGTGAGGTAAAACGTATTAAGGTGCGAAATATTAACACAAGCTCAAAAGTGACACCGTTGTTACATCCTATCGTAACAGCTGATCCGGAAGTTTATCTGTGTTTACACTACTAGTACTTCCGGCTAAGCATAAAATAAAATTAAAAAGAACACGGCAAGTGATTATCCGGACGACATAAAAACTTCAATATAGTATGAAATAGACACTGCCTGAAAGCGTGTAAAAGTTGGTCAACAAGATGCATATTTTGAACTGCCTTATCCACGTCCGCACTGAGGCATGTCTTTAAAATTTGTCTTGTAATTCGCAAGATTTTAACAAAACATCGGCACATACACTGTACCTGTATCATCGTATGAAAACCTTAAGCTCAGTGTAGATTTTATATACAAATACAACTTTACAATATCAAAAAACTATAGTAGATCATAATTAAGATAACGGAGATTTTAACAGGTATTTTAAGCTTGGTTATATAATGCATAAGTACGTCAAAATATTCTTCTCTCAGCAGGATGCTATGTATTGGGATTCCGCATTCTTTAGAAAGATTAGATGTTCATGAAGTCGGACTTTGAATCTTTTTCCAGTTTATCCGTTACATGATTCGTCGCAGTTCTTGCATCCGACTTTGTGTACGCATTCTGAGATGGTCTCTTTGTGCGTTTTATCTTCAAGATGTACTTGGATATTTCGGAGAGTCTTCTGAGGTTTCATGGCTGCTGCTTTTTTGGGGGGTCTCATAGCCCAATACTTCAACATTACCGTCATATTTCCTTAACTTGGAGGACGTCAATAAATGACATACTGCTATAGATTTCTGCTTCAAACGCGACTGACGCTGTTGATGATATCTACGGTTTTGGTCTGTTCAAGCAAATCCTATTGTGACCTTTCTTGCCTATTTCCACAACGCCATCTATATATCGTTTCCATAGACTAGGCTTGCACTCTACGAGAAACTTGGCTGTAGTATATTTTCTCCGAGTGTGCTCCATTCATAAATTAGCCAAAAATCGGAGACGCCTGACTACCCATGGCAAGAAAGTCTTACGTTATGTCCCCAATGTCGTGATTTACAAAGTAATTAAAAATGGTATTTGGTCTCCAATGTTCATTGAATGGATTTTCAGTATAATGTGGATCGATTTCATGCTACGTTATGACACTTCACTATAATGACACTTCACTATAATGCCACTTCGCTATAATGATAATCCACTATAATGACACCTCGCTATAACGACACTTCACTTTAATGACACTTTACTATAATGACACTTCACTATAATGACACTACAGAAGCATTCAACTTATCATCAGTGGGCTCTTTGATATGGCTGCTGTTTATCATCTGTGGAGATTTTGATAAGATCGTTATTTATCATCCGTGGATACTTTTCATATGGCTGTTGCGAGGACGTAAAAATCCCGAACAAATACTGTCTACCATGAACCATGTATGTAATCGATAACCTATATAAGTTAAACAGTAACGGGCTAGTTTTTATTTACCCTGTTTACTGAGCTACCGACACGAATTCACTGGACCTTTGTGTATTAATTTCAACCAGTCAGGTACCGATTGAATCTGTAATAGGTCGGTAACACCTTTTCGCTTGAATAGCATAGATTTATTAAGCAAGTTGTGAATTCATAAGAATTTGCCGTGCTTCATGAATTATTAATCCCTAAATTTATAGCCTTGTACCCAGTCAATAACCAACCAACCAGTTGTGAGATACATTCGTTTTGTGGTATTTGATCCAGATCAGCGATCTTTGTGCTGTTAAAGCAGCGCATGGACTTTTTAGTATCTTCATTTACATCTATTTTGGGAGCTGATTTATCGACAAATATGAGTAAGTAGAAAAAAATAAATAAAAATAAGTTTTCGCCAGTTAACACACACTGATATTAATTGACATACAGACACAAAGATGTAGGCTTTTAATAGATCGGACTTGCACTCTGTGACCTTTCAGATAAGATGGTTTGGCATAAGTTGAATAAAGATCCACACAGTTATCGTTATGTATCGGAGTCGTCGGAACACATACAAGGAATAACTGATTTAGGACAGTATACGGCCATTGTACAGCAAACACTTTCAAGTCCTCTCCTCGGGAGCACTAGGTTAAAAAGGGGTCGAATGATGACCTATTCGACGTCACATGCTCCTGAAAGTTGATGGTTTATAACTTGTAAATGTTGCTACAGCCAAGTTGCTTCTTTTTCTTTTCTTTTTTTCCTCATAAATAACAAGATAATAAACCAAACTAATTCCAACTTGAAAATTGATGAATATTTCAAGCAGAGAGCTTAGCTCAAAGCTGCTCCTGCTGGTTACGAAGAATGATCGAGAATATCAGCCATTAAAAACTTAATGATAGGATTCTTACATATAATAAATACATTTTTTTATTTTGAAAAAATGCATGAGATATGATACTGATTTTTCCCCGGTATATTTTACATTTAATTACTATTTTTCGTTTTTTTTAGTACAATTTAAACTCTAAAATAGAAAAATTGACAGACAAACGTGTTGTTCATTACATAGATACCGATAATTACAGACAAACGAGCAGTTCATTACATAGATACCGTTAATTACAGACAAACGTGTTGTTCATTACATAGATACCGTTAATTACAGACAAACGAGCAGTTCATTACATAGATACCGATAATTACAGACAAACGAGCAGTTCATTACATAGATACCGTTAATTACAGACAAACGTGTCGTTCATTACATAGATACCGTTAATTACAGACAAACGAGCAGTTCATTACATAGATACCGTTAATTACAGACAAACGAGCAGTTCATTACATAGATACCGTTAATTACAGACAAACGAGCAGTTCATTACATAGATACCGTTAATTACAGACAAACGAGCAGTTCATCACATAGATACCGTTAATTACAGACAAACGAGCAGTTCATTACATAGATACCGTTAATTACAGACAAACGAGCAGTTCATTACATAGATACCGTTAATTACAGACAAACGTGTTGTTCATTACATAGATACCGTTAATTACAGACAAACGTGTCGTTCATTACATAGATACCGTTAATTACAGACAAACGTGTTGTTCATTACATAGATACCGTTAATTACAGACAAACGAGCAGTTCATTACATAGATACCGTTAATTACAGGCAAACGTGTCGTTCATTACATAGATACCGTTAATTACAGACAAACGAGCAGTTCATCACATAGATACCGTTAATTACAGACAAACGTGTCGTTCATTACATAGATACCGTTAATTACAGACAAACGAGCAGTTCATCACATAGATACCGTTAATTACAGACAAAACTGTAGTTCATTTCATAGATACCGTTAATTACAGACAAACGTGTCGTTCATTACATAGATACCGTTAATTACAGACAAACGAGCAGTTCATTACATAGATACCGTTAATTACAGACAAACGAGCAGTTCATTACATAGATACCGTTAATTACAGACATACGTGTCGTTCATTACATAGATATCTTAATTACAGACAAACGAGCAGTTCATTACATAGATACCGTTAATTACAGACAAACGAGCAGTTCATCACATAGATACCGTTAATTACAGACAAACGAGCAGTTCATCACATAGATACCGTTAATTACAGACAAAACTATAGTTCATTTCATAGATACCGTTAATTACAGACAAACGAGCAGTTCATTACATAGATACCGTTAATTACAGACAAACGTGTCGTTCATTACATAGATACCGATAATTACAGACATACGTGTCGTTCATTACATAGATACCGTTAATTACAGACAAACGAGCAGTTCATCACATAGATACCGTTAATTACAGACAAAACTGTAGTTCATTTCATAGATACCGTTAATTACAGACAAACGTGTCGTTCATTACATAGATACCGTTAATCACAGACAAACGAGCAGTTCATTACATAGATACCGTTAATTACAGACAAACGAGCAGTTCATTACATAGATACCGTTAATTACAGACAAACGAGCAGTTCATTACATAGATACCGTTAATTACAGACATACGTGTCGTTCATTACATAGATATCGTTAATTACAGACAAACGAGCAGTTCATTACATAGATACCGTTAATTACAGGCAAACGTGTCGTTCATTACATAGATACCGTTAATTACAGACAAACGAGCAGTTCATCACATAGATACCGTTAATTACAGACAAAACTGTAGTTCATTTCATAGATACCGTTAATTACAGACAAACGTGTCGTTCATTACATAGATACCGATAATTACAGACATACGTGTCGTTCATTACATAGATACCGTTAATTACAGACAAACGTGTCGTTCATTACATAGATACCGATAATTACAGACATACGTGTCGTTCATTACATAGATACCGTTAATTACAGACAAACGAGCAGTTCATCACATAGATACCGTTAATTACAGACAAAACTGTAGTTCATTTCATAGATACCGTTAATTACAGACAAACGTGTCGTTCATTACATAGATACCGTTAATTACAGACAAACGTGTCGTTCATTACATAGATACCGTTAATTACAGACAAACGTGTTGTTCATTACATAGATACCGTTAATTACAGACAAACGAGCAGTTCATTACATAGATACCGTTAATTACAGGCAAACGTGTAGTTCATTACATAGATACCGTTAATTACAGACAAACGAGCAGTTCATTACATAGATACCGTTAATTACAGGCAAACGTGTAGTTCATTACATAGATACCGTTAATTACAGACAAACGAGCAGTTCATTACATAGATACCGTTAATTACAGACAAACGAGCAGTTCATTACATAGATACCGTTAATTACAGACAAACGAGCAGTTCATTACATAGATACCGTTAATTACAGACAAACTATAGCAGATTCATTCATAGATACCGTTAATTAGATACCGTTAATTACAGACAAATGTGTAGTTCATTACATAGATACCGTTAATCACATAGATACCGTTAATTACAGACAAAACTATAGTTCATTTCATAGATACCGTTAATTACAGACAAATGTGTCGTTCATTACATAGATACCGTTAATTACAGACAAATGTGTCGTTCATTACATAGATACCGTTAATTACAGACAAACGTGTCGTTCATAACATAGATGCCGTTAATTACAGACAAAACTATAGTTCATTTCATAGATACCGTTAATTACAGACAAACGTGTTGTTCATTACATAGATACCGTTAATTACAGACAAACGAGCAGTTCATTACATAGATACCGTTAATTACAAATAAACGTGTAGTTCATCACATAGATACCGTTAATTACAGACAAACGTGCAGTTAATTACATAGATACCGTTAATTACAGACAAACGTGTCGTTCATTACATAGATACCGTTAATTACAAACAAACGTGTAGTTCATCACATAGATACCGTTAATTACAGACAAACATGTCGTTCATTACATAGATATTGTTAATTACAGACAAAACTGTAGTTCATTTCATAGATAGCGTTAATCATAGACAAATGTTGAGTTCATGAATCAACTTTCGTTATTCATATACAAATTATTTCATCCAATATTTTCTGTTTTTTATAAACAGAACGATAGTCCATGACGTCCATTTAACTTTCGTGTATCATGCATCGCTTTTGTTTCGAGATTAATGTATAAACGTGAAATCAACCGTTAATGAAATTTTCATTTATTAACGTACCGCTTTGATAAATAAGTATTATATGTAGAATATATACGTAGATCCCTTACGGGAAAAAAATAACAAATATTCAATTTATGTCGGCCTAGGTTACAACTACACATTTTAAAAACACGATGTATTACCTTCTTCAAGTCTGTTGGTGTATCATCCAATACACGAGTTGGGCGTGACAAGTGACTTCTCAGTGAAACACACGACGTTGAGTACAAGCGTACGAAATGTACATTTTTAAAAGCTATGAGATATTTTTACCGAGTATTATTAGATGGCAAATTTTACACATGAAAAGAACGCACTGATCTGCTGTCGTACACATTTCTAACCAAAGGATGACATTCTTTGTTGAAACTTATGACCATGACGAGTTTGCTGCGATTGTGACTTTTGAATGTTGATCTGTGTTATGGAAACAACGTCTAGGTCCTGTAGTGTAAATCTTGACGCCGCACTTGCACTGCTGTGAAAACGTAGTGATTTCATTTCTGTCTCGGACAGCGGTCATGTCCATGTAGATTACGGACCAACATCACTATGGCCTGTAATACCCAAACTTGTAAAGAGGAATTTCAATGTAAAAATTTGGGATTGGGTCACACTCAACCACGCCTATTTGTATCATCACAGGTAAGATAATAACATTTTTTCCACCAGTTACTTTACTTTATCATGAGTTCTGTTTTATTAATAACTTTCAAACTGCTTCGTTTTTCTTAACTTTTGATTTCTTTGCCGCCAAGTGTCTTTAAGTCGTTATTGTTTTCTTTTTACTACTAAGCCAACATATCTAACGCTCAATGTTTTTAATTCTTCTGTATCAACAACTCCTCGTTGTATCGCTCGAAATCACTTTCATAATTGAAACAATATATGTGATGTTTTATTTAAGCTAACAACATTATCAGACAGATACACATGAAACACAGCATTTTAAAGGAACTGCCTTATTTGTATCCTGTGCTGGACTTCAGAATAAACTCATCACGTGTTTAACGCGCATTTGATCATTTCCGGTGTCCGGATTCACGCCAAACGCTTTTCTCGAATTGCATCCTTCCTGTCTTTTAACAGATAAGACAATTTTATAATCAACCTACATATTTCACATCCAATCAGTGTCCAGCGTCAGATTTACTTAATTACGGGTAAATTTGTCGTTACACGAATATCTATTGTATTTATTACATTCGTCTGCATACTGTTAACTGGAGAATGATTACAAATTGTCTGAAGCCGAACGTGCAAAGCATATTAATTATATTTCTATGAATAATTAACCATGAAATGTAACAGTAGAGAGATCAATCATACAGTGCCATTGTAATGTATAATAAACTTATGTGCACTTTCTAAAACAAGAAAGTGCTTCTTTCACACTAGGAACATTTACATATGAAATTTCCATATATGTGTGAATTAAATAGGGCGAGGTCGTATGGGTGGAAAATACACACGTGATTTCATAATGTACGGGCTTGTTGTCGTGAATTTTTTTACGATGGTCTCCATAAGTATATTTTGTTTTTATATTTTGCCCAAGTTAATCGAATCTGGATTAAAATAATTATTTAGTTGACACGAAGATGTCAGTATACTATGTTTTACTATCCACGAAATTCGTTCTGAATACTGAAATTATTTTACATTATTATACAAACAGTCTGGATCTAACACGCAATCGTAGACTCGGAAAAAATTTGTACCGCTCTCAGTCAAAGTTTCTAGTATAAAACTGATAATAGTTTATGATTAATAGAATGTTATAACAACCTCACAGACTGAGAGAAAACAGGTCCCATTCAGAGATTAAATGTAATATCAGTTCAAGGAAGCAGATTCCTAACTTGGGGATAATTCCGAACAAGGTTGTTTTTATTAAGGGAAAATTCGACAGAGTAAACAGATTATTTGTACTAGATGTCTCTCTTGTAATAGCTGTATGTGAATCAGAGTGTGACATTCGTCATTTTCACACTTCATACTTAACGTTTCTGTGTGGTTTATGATATATAGAACACATGACATGATGTCTTGTTGGCCTAAGTGTTTTACAAAAATGTCGCCTTTCTACGCGTGGATAAACAGCAGATAATTGGTGTGTGGAAAGTGCAATCTATATCGTGACTTTGGGTGTGACAATGTTGAAAGGTTGCTGTTTGATGTTTGTTTACGAGAAAGTATAAACTTGCCCGCAGTAAAAACTTGGAAATACATTTCCCGCACCAGGACTCGCTCGAAACAAGCTATGAGATGTTAAACGTTGTTAACACTGTAATCATGACTAGTATTGTGGAAGGCCTCAAACCGAACGAAGACGCTAAGTGGTCACATGAATACCCTTGTGTGTTTAAAAAGACCGGCCCATAGCCTTCTAACTTTAGCTTATACACAGAATTGCTTTTCTAAATAGAATATCGACGAGTAGGCGAACCATCAAAACGTAATGTACGATATGATAAAATCAATATAAAATGGTCCTAGCGAAACTCAGGCGAACTACATTCTATACCATTGGTATTACTGAAGAAATGTAACATACGTCTTAGGTTGTTGGTGTTTATCAGACAACAGATAATAGGTATAAGATCGGCAATATATCACACATATATCTATATTGCGAATACGGTTGTATAATATCAATGGAATACCTATGGAGCGCTTTACGTATTGAGGAAATTAAATGATTATCAGTTCAGAAAAAAATCAATCCTATGTAGCGACATACCAATATTTATTTTTAATTATGGGGCTTGTGCACCACCTCAGCTTGACAATTTTTTCTGTCTCTTAGATTGTCCTAGGCCATCTCCAATGTTTCACAAATTTAGGTCCTTACCGTCAGTGATGAGTCCCAGAAGAACTTAATGTATGATGCAGTTTAAATCCTTGTTTGGCTATAAATATTTTATTTAAATTTGTTAAAAAAGGTGTTCTTCACTTATGTGTCTTTTGTACAATCCTTTGCTTATGGTAAAAGTCATATTTCGTGGATAAAGGTTTTCATATTGACATAGATAAGGTTTTGTACTCTTTTAATTACATTTTTCAGTGTGGGCCCACTATCCTATACCCCATATGGACCATCTTCTGGCTCGTTTATAGGGTAGTCTGGATTGCCCTGGAAATCTATTGGGATGCGGAATCTGGTAAACTGCCAGACCCTATGTGGATGGTGTTCCTTACTAATTGGGCGTATCTTCTGCTACATATCGCCTCGACATGGGACTTCGTCGCTACCCATGTTGTCCTCGTATGTCAGACCAACATCAAGAAAGGTAGCAACTTTAGTTAAAAAATAAAGAAAAAAAACCCAAAATGTCAACATAATCATGATTAAAGCTCAAATTTAATGAAACTAGGGCAAAATGTGAACAAAAGAAAGACTTAAACGGAGGCTCATGAAAAAGTTAAAGGAAAATAAGACCAGGTGTTCCAGAAGAGTAAACGCCTTCTGCTTCATCAACGACACCGACATGTAAATCTTGGCCAATCTAAGTAAGTAATGTCACGTTCTTAAATGAGAACAAGGTTTACAACCACAGAACAAACTAACAACAATAATCAGCACAAACAAATGAATAATGTGTAATAGCAGGAATGGCGTAGGGAAAATAGATACGTATTGTCTTTATATCACTGTATACCTCAGAAAACACGTGTTGCATGTATCAAAAGTTATTGGTCTTTTTCTTTAAGGTAGAAAAGCAATGCTAATTTGTTCGCGACTGATAAAGACACATTTTGTTGACGAGGATCAAGTTTAAAAATAAAATTTTAACAATTGAGTATTTATTGAAAATGTCTTTGCTGAGTATGATGGAATGTTCTGCCGATCTGCCAAAATTCTGTTGGCCAATATTCCAGGGAACAAAGTGTTCTTTGCTCTTGGTTGCCATTTTCTTTCACGTAACAAGAATGTACGTTATATAAACAATATATTAATATTTGTAAATATTCAACAAGTTCATTACAGTGTTGCAGGACGAACAGGTGTTGAAAATGATTGTCTCCTGTTGTAGGTGAGAGAGATAATATGCCTTGGTACCTGATGATTAGTTGGGTACTCTTCAACATACAAAACGCCATCGGATTACTAGTGACACTCGTATACTATATTGTTTTGGATCCAGGTAAGATAATGCATTAGACGTTATTATTTTTCTACTCTTACGTCATGTAGAAATAAATTTAATGCAATTCATAAAAAATATGAGATGTACGGTTAGGGTGACCGTATGTCGTCACTACCTTCCTCAGAAAAATGATCCTCCAGTGAAGTGTTCTGGATGATATTCAAATTAACCGAATCCATTGAACTTTAAAGTATATTCTCGTTTCCTTATAGACAATATGCAATTTTACACATCTGCGCATTATAAAGGAAAAAAACAGAGAAAATGAAAAAAAAAATTGATAGCGTAACCCTGCAAGAAAGATTTATTTACTGTTGGACGTCATTGAAAGAGTTTGACTCAATCCTAATTAAAAAGTATACGATATGTTTCACATGTATCTTTTATTAGTTATAAACTTTCAGTATTATGATACACATTGATACTAAAAAAAATTACTTTTATTTGTGACAGATTCTAATTACTTTTTGTTTCAGTTGCGACTCCGTCAAGCATCAACAAACATGCCATGAACAGTGTATTTATTTTCATCAACTTCTTTCTCTGTGCAAAGCCCGTCCGCATTCTCCATTTCTACCAGGTTTTGGTATTCATAGCAATGTACGGTGTTTTTTCCTTGATCTACCAGCTAACCACAGACTATCAGATCTACAGTATCCTGGACTGGTACCAGCCTTGGCCCACCCTGGCCTGGGCGCTAGGGCTAGGTTTGGTCGGGGTACCACTGGCTCACAGCTTCTTCTTTGGGCTTTATAACCTGAGGACGTGGATATTTGAAAAATGTTGCTCCACGTCGAATGCACCAACAATAGGAACAGGAGACACCCGTGGAAACACTATAGAGAAGTCCGCATGATGAATCATACATATCGCTTGTTATTTTATTGTATAATTTGAATGCTGTTAACATATATCCCGCTTGTTATCAGTTATAGATCAAATTATCATGAGAGGAGAACCTATATTTATATTTGGGATATGTTTCCTGTATTGAAAAGGAGCGGATCAGTATCGAGGTGATATTTCCTGGATTGAAAAGGGGCGGATCATTAACGAGGTGATGTTTCCTGGATAGAAAAAGGGGCGGATCATAAACAAGGTGATGTTTCCTGGATTGAAAAGGGGCGGATCGGTAACGAGGTGATGTTTCCTGGATTGAAAAAGAGGCGGATCGGTAACGAGGTGATGTTTCCTGGATTGAAAAATTGGCGGATCGGTAACGAGGTGATGCTTCCTGGATTGAAAAGGGGTGGATCGGTAACGAGGTGATGTTTCCTGGATTGAAAAGGGGTGGATCAGTAACGAGGTGTGTTTTCTGAATTGAAAAGGGGCGGAGTGGTAACGAGGTGAAGTTTGGATGGCAAGAAGATATCGAGGGGAGAGGTTATATATCAGGGATATTTGAATGTGAGGGCAGAAAGGATAGATGTTGAGTGTGCAAAGTGTGGGGGCATGAATCACGGTGGTAATGCATGGGTATAATAGTGAGAATAAACACCACAGAGAGAAAATATTTGGGAAGGCAGTGGATCGTCGATAGCATAGACATCTTGCACGTAAATCAAGATACTCGGAACAAACACAAGCATATCGAATCAGCTGCAACATTAAAAAAATTAGGTTAAGGATGTTGCTACTCAGAAATGGAAAATTAGCAACAGGGAAATTGGTTTAACGCTTATACATATTGGGGGAAAGCTGTCCATGTTGGTATCTTTTAGATCGAGGTAGCGGCTGATGTAAAAGAGTCTGTCATGTCCTTAATTTCCAATAGTCTAATGAGTATATGCGGTAGGCTTGGTCAGTAAATCTTTGAAAGGCCTTTGTGACATGCGTTAATAAGCTTTCGATATATTCAGCCTCGCACAAAAAATCAGCCAACAGAGAATGTACAGTTGGCAATAGCCTGAAGATCTTACCACAAAACGAAGATGAGATATCATCATTTATCTTTCTTGTAAAAGAAGACTTTAATGACAAGAGCACGAATGCGTTTTTTCAATTTAGAATGAGGTATTTTGGCATGCAGAGAGGAAAAATCAAATGTCCTTATAGATGACATTTGCTTTAGATACGTCTGTACCATTAATTCCACTTATCGAGTAAACAGTATCACAAGAAGACTTGATAGTTTGCGATTGGTAGTAACAAGCTTTGTTAGATCTAAAGGAAACAGTAGTGAGGGCAGTGTTAGTTCGAAAGGAAACACTAGTGAGGGCAGTGTTAGGTCTAAAGGAAACAGTAGTGAGGGCGGTGTTAGGTCTAAAGGAAACAGTAGTGAGGACAGTGTTAGGTCTAAAGAGAGCAGTAGTTGCGAGGTCAGATCTCTGAAAGTGGAGCTCTTGTTTAGAAACTAACGGATGGCTACCATGATGTATCAATATCTGAAGCTGATATCGAAAAAAAATGGTCCAGGAATCTGAACAAAACAGGTCAGATAACCTAAAGATTTTATTAGAAAAGTCCTCACAATATTGATATTTTTATGAAATAAATTTGAAGTTAGCCATAAACCACTGTTATATTTTCACTCATACTTCATGCCTAATCTGTAACATTGGAGAGAACGAAAGTATAAGATTTGTATAACTACAAAATAGCATGTTAACAATACGTCCTCTTGATAATAACTACCGTTTTAACATTGCAATTCCTGCCAAAAACTTTAACATAAAAAATAGACACAATTTTGTTGTTCAAACGATAGTTTTGCATGATTTTAGCAATACATTATTATTTTGAAATACCTTGTGCAAAATATTATTTCTGTTAAGTATTTTATGTCCAGAAAATTTTTGCTCGCGATTTTAAGCATTTGAGTATAATATAACCAAAAATGTCTTGTATAAATTGTTATATCCTTTTGTTGTGAAATAGATTGCAATACCAACGGGCCAATTTTGATAGTCCATAACTTTTATTGTATAAAAGATTATTAATGGTCAGTGCCCTTCTTACTTAACTGACGTACTCGGTTTTCTAATATAAATTTTTATACCATCAGAAGAGCCAACTGAACTATCGTACTAATCTATATAGAGACTCCTTCCTGACCTCCTGCATTGACCTATAGAACACACTGTCCGCTTACAAAAAATACAACCCGTCAATTACTTACCTTCAAAATGTCAATACTGGTTTGTTCCTTCATATTAATACGGCAGAAGCAGACGAGGCCAGATCCACCATGCTCAACTAAGGGTGAACTGCAGCTCCTGAAATACAATCACTTATTAGTCCCCCGTGTTCCTGCAATAATTCTGCTAAAACTACCAAACATTTCCTTCAGTGCTCTACCTACATTGTAACCAGTAGCTCGGAATTTGATGTTTTAGGAACCTTCCTTCAAATTATAACAACAGCTTACTACATGTTAGTCCAGAAAAGTAAGTTTTCCCTAGAAACAAAAAGACATGTTTTATAGTATATTGTAGGAATGTTTAGCTAGATATCAATATCAATTTTATGATCTATTCTAATATCTTTGATATATTCTCATACTATTAATCAGTTGGGGTTTTGCTTTCAATAAAGGATTTGTCACTGTTAAAAGGACGGATCAGAGCAAATACGCCAGCAAGTTCTTGTGATTAAAAATTGTTCTATATAGCCCTCAATAGGTTTGTTCTGATTCACGAATTATGATAACGAAAAAATAATAACATGTGGACAGAATCTTAATTCAAACTCAAATTCGATGTTACTCTGGCAAAATATGATCAAAAGAACACTTTAGGGAATTTCGGGAATTAAATTTAACGGTAAGCAGATATTGTATGGAAGCTTGGAAATCCGAAATCCAGCAGTGAAGGTTAAAACTTGTAACAATATCATACAGCGTTTTTTCTTATTATACCCATGCAATAATAGCCCACCACTATGATGAAATAGAGAGTTAAACGTGGGTATTAATATAATATAGACTGAATACTCAATGGTTTCTTCACTTCTATCTTGAGAGGCATGGCCGACAACGACTGATACACAATTAAGACAATATTGACCAAATAAATGAACACTGAAGGTCAGTTTGTGTTTTTATTTGTGTTTTATTGAAATCAGTAACAATAACCAACGCATTAAAAATAGTGTTAAACCATTAAACGACCCAAAACTTTAATAGATGGTTGAATGCTTACAACGACTGCATGTAGCGAATCAATGAAAAGTCGATGGAAAAATAAAATCACAATTGTGGAACAAGTACTGACAAAAAACAACATCGAGGTTAAAGTACATAATGCTCATTTTCGTGTGTCTTGTTGGAATTTAGACTACGTCTGGGTTATTGATATTGTGTGTCTTGTTGGAATTTAGACTACGTCTGGGTTATTGATATTGTGTGTCTTGTTGGAATTTAGACTACGTCTGGGTTATTAATATTGAGTGTCTTGTTGGAATTTAGACTATGTCTGGGTTATTGATATTGTGTGTCTTGTTGGAATTTAGACTATGTCAAAGGAGCTTTGAGGGAAAATATGTTATCATCAGTAACATTTACCTAATAAATTCAAAAAGGTAAATTATTCAGGGTTTTATCATAATAATACAAATATCAATAAACATCATGACTTGTGTTCTGATTTTGATTCCATTTCTTACTATACGAAATTTTTTTAAATTTGTTTAATCACATCAGTGCTATACTGTCTTAACTACGAAACATTCAAATTTTGAATTGACAATGATTGAATTGACAATGAATAAGAACTATTCAAAGATTAAGAACTTTTTGGACTAAAAATGACTAATTTTCAGAGATAACCTCCAAATCTGTTCTCGTTCTCAAACTCTCTTTCTACCACAAACAGCTACCACAATCTCAACCCATGACACTATAATTAATAAACTACCTTTCACAACCAAAACAGTTTTGAAACACCTTTCTATTTCATGGTAATGTCACAATTTCACATCAACAATTGGTTTTATTTCTATGATAGAAAGAAGACAGTAGCAAAAAAGTGTGTTTCAGTTTAAAAAAAAAAAAACAATGAAAGATATCCTTATGAAACTTAAGGCTAGCTCCAAGCAACAACAGAATAAAATAAATCAACTAAAACAATGGACACTACAACACCATAAAAACAGGAATGATATGAAACTAGTTTCGTAGTGAAATTGGTGAGAAATTAGTGACAGCAGTAAGATAATATACCAGTGACATACAACAAATAAAAAGATGATGAACAGCTTGGTCAGTTTCCATTTATACAATTCAATAATAAAATATGCTGAATCATACCACACACAAACGTAACATTAGGTCTCGGTGTAAAACAATACATCTCACAAAAAGCACCTTTTAAGACAGATTTGATTCATTTTCTTAGGCCCACATTGAAATTTAACCTAAATGTTTAAACAATAATTGCATCTTCAGCCCTTTTTGTGCCAACTAATTAAACTTTACTATCATATCTGTGCATGACACATGTCTTCCAGTCAGATTAAAATATCAGCTATTTCATATGGAAGCTAGATAGAGATATTTTCTGTATAAAACTTCTCTCGTCATCGTTTGTGTTAAATGTTATTGTAAATCGAACAAGGGCATCAGCTAAATACTAAATAAAACTAAACAGCTGTGGAGGTAAAACATCCAACGAAAAAGTTGTAGCTTCATAAAGCAGGTCCAATTATGTTTTAAAAAGCAGGCAGATTTAAAAAAAAAAAACATCATCAAAAATGCTCTCTAATCCAACTATATATCCCATATGATTTTAAAAATTACTTATATTCAATACCAAAGACATTATCAGGTTCCTGTAAATACCCAAATAAAACATGGGATAGAATTCCTGGTGCTTCATTTGCCTGCAACATTAAATCTGGCAATTCTGAAACATGGAAAAA